ACACAGACAGGCACACAGACAGGCACGGTTGGCATACAGACAGACAGACAGGCGCGGCGGCCACACAGACAGACAGACACAGTGGGCACATAGTCAGGCAGGTACACAGACAGACACGCACGGTGGACACACGGGCAGACAGACAGGCGGACAGGGACGGAGGACACACATGCAGACAGGGACGGCGAGCTCACAGACAGACAAGCAGGCACCGTGGGCACACAGACAGACAGACAGGCAGGTATGCACACACTCTTTCGCACGCACGCGCACACTCACGCGTACACACACGTCATTATAACTGAGAAAAGTTCTTGAGTACTAAGGTGAGACCTATTTACTGGTAAGCAACTGCAATTGCACAATGAATGTCGCATAAAAAACTTTGCACCAAGGTACCTGTCTACATCATTAACCTACACGTAACAAGTATACCACTACCAGTGATATATTGATTACGTCAATCCTACTTGGACAACCCACTGCAACAACTCTTGCATGGGGTGTCACGATCGCCGTCACCCGGAAAACAGGTTTTGAAGATATGTTTATTTATACTCTGCCACTCCTTCATTCTTTACACTGACTGTCCATTCACTACAGGATTTCATTCAAGATTCTGTGCCTCACTTTCCGCTGTCAGTCTTGATCTGCCCCTTCGTATCTGGCCCAGTCCCTCACTTAGCACCGCCCATGTCGCTCTCTCCGTTCTCGTTGTTGCGACCTTAAATGTAGAATGGGCGTGTAGAATAGTCATGAACATTCATCAGTGGGCGGAGATTATTTGACCACGTCACACGTGTTTCTTCTCCGGAAGATACTAGGCCGTGTATGTGACGTAGCACATAAGCTCCGCCCACTAATGAATATTCATGATTATACGGTCACAACAAACGTCTCCTCGTTATCCCCACTGTGAGGACTTCTACGTATGGTGAAAGGTCCTTTTGGCATGCTGCCTCTACAACCTGGAATCAACTACTTCAATATCTACGTGACTGTACAGAACTTTCTACTGTTAAATCCTTACTAAAGGCTCACTCTTCAGATTAGCCTGTGAGTCCAAACAACAATCCATTGAATTGTGTTCCATGTATCGCTAGTCTTTCATTATCTCTTAGTGTCTGTTGTATATAATTCTATATCTTGTGCTTTGAACATGTTTTACATGGAAAATAGTGCATTACAAGCATGCTAATATTATTATCATTATATTCTTTTTTCTGATTGCCCTTGAGGTGGATTAATTTATATAACATGCAATGCAGAACCCTTTATTTTAACAAGCCACAGAAACATCCTTTAAAGCTCTACACTTTTACTATCCCAGTCAGTGGATCAGTCGTCACCTCGTTATCAACTCCCTGGGGAGTATACAACCAAAGATGCCGGTTGGATAGGAGTAACATTAGAAACAGGACAACGGCGTCAGTACTTAGTACTCCAACTTCTTTTGCCTCTCAAAGAAGTTATTCGTCGTCTTCATGTAGACGTATCTATCATAAATTGCTTGACAACGGCGTTAGAATCTACACCGAAACGCCGCGCTTCCTTGTAAATGGAGAAGTTGTGCATCTATACACCAGTCATTATTAGAATGTATTAGATTTGTACGACGGCAGCCAGTAACAAATATAGTCTGGACCGGACAATCTAGTGATGGATATCGAGGACAAGGATCCACTCTGTCGGAATACGAAGACAGGATATCAATCAGCCATGACACCATCAGTGTTTGCGAAAATGATATAGTAGGGCTCATAAATGATAAAAAAGGATTGAAGTAGCGCTCAAAATGTACGATCTTTTTATCACGTGTTCATGATGTTCATTTTCTGAACACAAATACAGCAGCATCTTCTCCTCTGGTGCATGTGATGTATATATGATGTACATGTGTTGTATATGGTGTGTCTGTGATGTATATGTGTTACAAATGTGTTGTATATGGTGTGTATAAATATCAACTATTAGTGCAGTGTATTATGTACATTATACTGTTGGTTGCCTTGCAACCAAGCACACACGTGTATTAGAGGACCACACCCCAAAACAGGCATGATAGCTCGAATATCTATACTACATTCAAACGTTCACTCACTTAAAGCACTCACTATATGTTATGTATATATATGAGGTTACATCGAAGATGAATTTCTCCACTAACTTGGGCGAACCAACTGCAAACCTTATGCAGATGAATTGCACGAGGATCAATCATTAAATTGCTGAAAAGCATGTGCAAATATCGTGCATGTGAACAGCTGCGTTTTGGTGTAAAGTTTTGTTAAGAATTCACCAATTTTCACTGAGTTTCATCATATACTGAACTCATGAAAATAATCTTTCCTACGTTACGAATTTGTTTTGCAATACATCAGTTCTTGTGTAAACAGTTCCTTTAAACAGTTTGGAACATTTTGCAAAATCTAGTTTGGAATAGTTGACTGAAGAAAGTGGCTACATTTACACTAGTGAGTATAAAGTTTTGATGGGTAGTATATGTCGGTATGTTACTCCTGTTAGGTGGTGAAAGATCAATTTCATAGATTTTGATAGGCTTTGGTGGAAAGAAAGTCCTCAGTAAATCGGATAACTCAAGAGTTCTAAAAAAAGTGTTTCAAGTCTCGCAGATGTTGTTGGTCCTACTTGGCCGGAGATACAGACAAATATGGTGGGCAGACAGACAGACAGATATGGTGGGCAGACAGACAGACAGGCACGGTGGGCACACAGACAGACAGATACGGTGGGCAGACAGACAGACAGGCACGGTGGGCACACAGACAGACAGATATGGTGGGCAGACAGACAGACAGGGACGCTGGGCAGACAGACAGGCAGGGACGGTGGGCAGCCAGAAAGGCACGGTGGGCACACAGACAGACAGATATGGTGGGCAGACAGACAGTGACGGCGGGCACACAGACAGACAGGCAGGCACAGTTGGCACACAGACTAACAGACAGACAGGCAAGGCGGGCACACATACAAACAGGCAGACACGGCGGGCACACATACAGACAGGTAATTCAGGCACACAGACAGACAAACAGGCAATTCAGGACAACAGACAGACAGCCACGGTTGGCACACAGGCAGACAGGTAAGGCGGGCACTCAGACCGACTGACAGGGAAGGCGGGCATGTTGGGCACACAGACAGACAGGCACGGTGGGCACACAGACAGACAGGCACGGTGGACAGACAGACAGGCATGTTCGCACTCAGACAGACAGGCATGTTGGGTACACAGACAGACAGGCATGTTGGGCACACAAACAGACAGGCACGGTGGGCACACAGACAGACTGGCACGGAGGACAGACAGACAGGCACGGTGAGCACACAGACAGGCACGGAGGACAGACAGACAGGCAACGTGGGCACACAGACAGGCATGATGGGCACATAGACAGACAGACATGTTGGTCACACAGACAGACATGCACGCTGGACACGCAGACAGGCATGTTGGGCACATAGACACACAGACATTTTCGGCACACAGACAGACATGCACGTTGGACACACAGACAGGCACTGTGGACACACATACAGGCATGTTGGGCACACAGACAGACAGGTACGGTGGGCACACAAACAGACAGGGATGGTGGGCACACAAACAGACAGGCACGGTGGGCACACAGACAGACAGGCACTTAGGACAGACCGACAGGCACGGTGGACAGAAAGACAGGCACGGACGACAGACAGACATGCACGGTGGGCACACAGACAGGCACGGAGGACAGACAGACAGGCACCGTGGACACACAGACAGGCATGTTGGGCACATAGACAGACAGACATGTTGGGCACACAGACAGACATGCACGCTGGACACACAGACATGCACTGTGGACACACAGACAGGCATGTTGGGCACACAGACAGACAGACATGTTTGGCACACAGACAGACAGGCACGGTGTCACACAGACAGGCACGGTGGGCACCCAGACAGACAGACAGGTACGTTGGGCACACAGACAAACTGGCACGGGGGGCACACAGACAGACAGGCATAATGGACACACAGACAGGCCAGGTGGGCACATAAACAGACAGACAGGTACGTTGGGCAGAAAGACAGGTGGACAGGGACAGACACACAAGCACGCACGCACGCACGCATACGGTTCTGACGTCATTGTAATTGAGAACAGTTCTTTAGAACTTAATTCATTATAAAGGGTCGCAATAAGGTGAAACATATATATTTTATAATGTTAAGTAACTGTAAATGCTCAGTGAATGTCGTATAGATTAATTTGGGCCAAGGTACCTGTCGCGAGTGTAATCTACAATAAAATCTCCACACTACAAGTCGGTCAGTGATATATCATGACTCACTGCAGAACTTTTGTATGGTTTTTGTATGGGATTCGAGAAGGGACATTGTCGCGTTGTCGCATTGTCGCGTTGTCGCCCTCTCATAAACAAGCACAATGAGGCAAACTTAACGAGTTAAGTTTAACGCGTTATCAGGAAGGTACTTAGTGCTCCGACTTCTATTGCCTCTTAAAGAAGTCTTCATGCAGACATTGTATACAACCTACCACTGGACGCATAAAAGCATGTTTACATCTGTGATATTGCTACAACTTGTAACGTAGTTAGAGAACATGCGTTCTTCTCCACTTAGTCCACTGATGCTTGTTAAGAAACAAACTTGTTTTCACTTCAGGTAATCCAGTTATCTTTTAATCCTTACATCTGTTTTCATCAGTAGATCACGTGTTCCCTGGTACGATGAACGGCGGACAGATCCTGTCGCTTGTGGTGCTGATCTCTTCCCTGCTGGTGCTGACACACTCTCTTGGTAAATACACGTATATAATGATACAATGGTTATTGGATTAATAATGAATCGAAACTGAAGTTTGTGGAAGTTAAATATGTCATATTCATATGGTTTCCTAAATACAATACGGGTTATTTTTTCTGACACTTCTAATTTATTACATTTTCAACATACAACATACATTTTTCAGAGCACCCAAGTCACGACTCATGTAACACCACTGGGTGTAGACATGGGAATGGTCGTCTTAGATGTCAGTCATGTAACACCGGGTGTCACGGATCAAATTGCAGCTCTACATGCCAAGGACGTTGTGACGGAGACGGATGTGACAGGTCCACTGGAGAATGTTTCAGATGTAGACCAGGGTTCTGTGGACGACAATGTGACACACCCTGTCCACCACGTTGTTCCAGCAGTCCGGTGACTGGCGCTTGTTCTGAATCTTGTGGTGGAGGAAGGACCGGGGCACATTGTGATGGACGATGTCCACCCAACTGCAAGGCATCAGTCTGTCACATACAGACAGGAGAATGTCTTGATGGGTGTGATGGAAGATGGGCAGGGAACTTCTGTAACATGACATGTGACAACTGTCTGATGGGAAGGTGCAGCATCACGGGGTACTGTCTACATGGATGTGAAGCAGGCTTCTATGGACAGAAGTGCGAAGACAGATGTCAACATTGCTGAACCACTGGTTGTGACTGACAGACTGGGGTATGTGAACAGTGTCAACCTGGTTACCATGGACACCGCTGCAGTAACACGTGCCCCGAGAAGTGCTACAAAGGAAGAGATGGACACAAGCATTGTGATCGACATACTGCAGTTTGTCAGGAAGGATGTGAGACTGGGTGGCACGGGTCACACTGTAACACCCTGTGTAGTATCTCCTGCAAGTCTTCCCTGTGTTACAGCCATGATGGATCGTGCGTGGAGGGCTGTGTTCCAGGGTACTATGGGAAACACTGCCACAAGAAATGTCTGCATTGTAGAGACAATGTGTGTGACCGCCATGGACGGTGTTCAGCCTGTACTGATGGATGGTTCGGAGAGAGATGTGACGAGGCTTGTGGGTGGTGTCTGGATGGTGTATGTGAGGTGGACGGTAGCTGTAGTCGTGGGTGTAAGGACGGGGCATACGGGAGTCACTGTCAGCACACAAGCAGTGGGGATTGTGTATCGTGTGATCAGAGGACAGGGATTTGTAATGACGTAGGGCTGTTGATGCTGTGATAAACCCTGGTACATGCTCCTTAATGTGTTCAGAGTATCAACACGTACTGTCAGTTACCTTTGTACGTATCTGCGTACTCTAAGATGCGAATAATAATTGTAAACACACATATTTAGATAGACAGACAGAATCCAAGCCTAAAAATCTGGGTAGTGCGTCTGTAATCGTTCTGTCTAGCATTAGAATAATCTTTTATTCCACAATATTTTGCCTCAGTCATAACTGAACATGATGCCAGAATCTAATGAAAAACGTATCAGCATCAGGAAGCAATCACATAAACTCCAAAGCCTCTCGGCACTGTGACTAAAGCTAGAAACTATCTCCTAAATGGTTTTGTGAAGTAGTTTCCAAATCAGTTTCGCCTCTATGTCCTCATGGCTTGGCAAACATATCGGTTTGAAGGTTAGGGCTTTGCAGTTTACCATTTTCACAGTACTATTTACCTAAAGAATCTTCGATCAAATTTTCCAAGCACGATATTGTAAGGTTATCAGAAAACAGGCTCAGATATGTGCTGAATCTTACTTGTTGACAAAACGTTTAGGAAGTTTTGAAACGTATGCTTTTATTGTATTATTTTTGAGGTTGTTGTCACAGGCAGCTTCAAGTTTCATACAGAAGTGAGTTGTTTCCTTTGTGCCAATTTCATGTCTTTCTTAAGATATTTTCCCACTCATAGTGTTTGTCTTGTTTCTAAATCTAGTACATTTGACACGTGTCATGTACTTGACACACGTAAGTAGGTGTTATGTTCGTGTTGTTTTTCTTGTTTCTATAAATATTCAAACTGGGAATCGGTCGTCTACAACGTGATGGACAGATAAAGTGTGTCTGACATGGTTCAAACTGGCAAATATGTTCAGTGTGTCTCAGTCTGTAATTTGCAGACTTTGGATCAGGTTACAGCAAACACAATGGTCATTGACAAGACCCTCTCAAATTGACATCGGGGGTTAGATTCGGCTTCGTTGTTCAATGAACAACCTCTACTGGTCAAGTCATCACACACGTTGACTGTTTGCCTACTCACCAATGTATCCTGTCGCGATTGTTTACATAATCCTACACCGCGAGCATGTCACACAGTATTCGGGATTCCTTATTGATAGTACCCGTGAAGGCCCGGTTTAGAATTGGTCTTCAGTAACCCATGCTTGTCGTAAGAGGCGACTAACGAGATTGGGTCGTCAGGCGCGCTGGCTTGGTTGACACATGTCATCGGTTCCCAATTGCGCAGATCGATGCTCATGCTGTTGATCACTGGATTGTCTGGTCCAGACTCGGTTATTGACAGACCGCCGCCATATAGCTGGAATATTGCTGAGTGCGGCGTAAAAGTTAACTCACTCACTCACTCCTTACTGATATAGATGTATTAGAGTACATATAATGTTTACGTTTACATACAGATTGGAGTTACTCGATATTGTCATAATATTTGCTATTCTGTGTGTGTACAGGTTTGTGTGTAAATATATAAGAGAGCTACTCAATAAAATGCCAATAACAATGATGAACGAGTTGTTGATAATTTCATTCGAACGTTGACGACGATCTTTTAAGGAGGTACAGTGAGTTGTTCCCGTCGATGTAACTGGGCAGCATAGATGAAGGCAATGGCTGAACCCCTCGTATCTAAATGTGGGAATCTGAAATGGGAGAAATGTGACCTGTAATGGCCGTCAACTGTTTTAGTGGTTTTGAGAATATTAAGGAAATACCGACCTGAGCCTTTCGTTCCTACTGACGTAGCTTGTTTTGGGAACCTATTGGTCTCGCTTGGGCGTGGTCCTGAATAATACGTCACTATGACAATTAACTAGACAAAGCTGATTAGTCAGCCAGAGAGAACAGAGAGTCCCTCTGAGTATTTTCGAGTGAAATAATTATCACTCCGTATATATAAGGACTCTTGACTTCTGATTGAAACTTATTGAAATGTAACCACTATTCTTCTGGGCCCCGATCCACAAAGCGTTCGTTATGTTACGACTCTATAAAGGCCAGTCAATAGCAAAAAAGTCGGGAAAAATGATGAAGAAATGAAACTTGGCAGATATGTTCTACAAACCTTCCTACAGAACATACTAAAAGTCCACAAAAATCCCACTTGAGCTAAATCCATAGTGCACGTGCAAACATTGCTACCCTATGCCACCTTTTGCTTACCTAGAAGTCCAATTGTGTTTGATAAAATAGTCACAACTACTCTATTTCTGTGCATAGGTACATAACTGAGTGAATATATCTCAAGATTGATGACCATTATTTCAGAAGAAAAACAATTATGTGGCCCTTTTTTGTGCTAAAAATTGAATTTTTATATGCTTTTACCCTTGGGTGACACAAAGACCTAGGTATAATGATAAGGCTTAGATATGTCCAAAAGTCCTTGAAGTGTATTGTTCAATGTCTTTTTCACCACAAACCACCAAATATAACTTAATAAAATCATATTTTAACATTTTGACTGAAATTGAAAATTGCAATGAAATCTCAATAAATGGCCCAACAACTGCAATGATTTGATTTTTTAGACCCAATAATCAAGCAAGTGAAATTTTATAATTTCCTAAAAAGACATTTAAGAAGCCATTTCTATGCTTTATCACCCTTGGATACTCACAATTTAAAAAAAAATATCATAACTCAACCTGACAGTACCTAAAAATAACTGACATTCTGCACTATTTACAGATTATGTACCAGGGCATCTTCAAAGACGTATGATTAAAGATCTAAAAAGATCATTTTCTTTTCCTTGTCATTCTGGAGGAAGTTGAAGGCTGTGGCTCATATTCAACTTCACGCTCATCAGCGTCGCTGGAAGACAATTCATGAGATGTTTCATCAGATGGTAGTTCATGATCTTCTTCCATCTTTCTCTGCAAGGTATACTGTGATTGAATTGCTGCAATTACCGTGACAATATCCACATAGACGCGAACATTTCAATCCTGCCTTTCTGCACCCAGACATACGCTCACACTCTGTTGCATTTGATCATGTTGATCAATGTCTCTGGAGCTGGGGGGTTCACGGGTTGTTACTGGCTTGAGCTGGCCACAAACAGTTTGCCATCCCCATTCATTTGGTGGAAGGCTTCTTCCAAGCCATTGCTGCACTTGCAGATAAACCCTCAGACAATGTTCTCTCGCCACTACCGATGTAGGTGGCAAGGCAGATAACTGCATTTGTGTGTGAATGGGACACTGAGCATCTATGCTCATTCAGGGATTTAACAGACTTAGGTGCTCCATACAACTGCTCTCCTGCAAACACAACCATATCCTTTGTGGATAATGGATTATGGAACGCCTTGACAAGTTGTTGCAAGTCGTGTCGTTTTGTGAACAACATGACAGCTTTTTTCTTTCCCCGTCTGTACAAGGCTGATGTAGTGTCACAACCAGTCATTGCATGGAGAAAGAGCAACCCAGAAATGAAGCTCTTGCTTGCCGTAACAACGAAATGCTATATAGACGATCAGCAGTCTTTCCGCTCCAAGTTTTAAGGAAGTACAATCTTTCTGAAGCACACAAATGGATGAGGAGCACGAGAAGATCAACATCAGTCCCAACAACAATGGCTTTGTGCCCATTATCAGCACAATCAATACCTGTTTGTACAATGAGAAGGTCAGCATCTGCACTGGCTTCTTTCACTGGGATATTGAGCTCATGAACTAGTTGTGTCAGAGCCTTTATCAAATGTGACTTGTTTTAACCACTGGACAGGAATTTATCCTGTTTGATCGTCAATGGTGTTTCAGAATTGAAGACAATATCAGTTCTCAGATATCTGGGTGCTCTCCGAATGTGTTCAACATCGTTTGTGGACACAGAATCGCCATACCCATCAAACACAATGATGCTGTTGTTTCCAAAGTGTCAATTGACATGTGTCAGATACGCAGCATCATAAACATTATTGTATGTTCTGCTTTGGGGCCATATCACTTTTCTCCGCAAGTATCCACCATCAACTATGTACATAGCATCTGGAGGAACTTCCTCATCATGTGGAAGGCTTTGTTTGCCTGACAAAGAATCAATCAATTTGTCTGTTTTTCTCATTGAGTACTCATCGAATAGTGATAGGGGACATGGAGAAAGTTCATATTTCAAACAGGATAAAGAGTCATCATCTGTTTTCATGAGACACAGGATGCGATGAAAAAGCTGCATGGTATTGACAGGTATAACCTCATTCTGTATTTTGATTGAGTTGTTCATGACAGATAGGGGGAGTACTCTGTTTTTCTTGGAATATGTAGATTTCTAAAGCGTTTGCCAACTATATTCTTCATAGCAGAATCTCCAATTGCAAGTGCAGAATCGCAAATAATGTCTTCTTTCCTTACAATTCCCTACTCAAGGAGACCAGTTCCTGTCCTTGTTCAAATAGAGAAAGAGTTGATAGCCATTCAATCAGCTTGTTAACGTCACTGGTGTCCCTCTCAATTCTAGACGTCCTCAGTTTTACGTGCTGGTCAACACTACAGAATTTGGTCCCAACACACTGTCTGTCAGTCCTCGTCCACGAGTGAGACCACCGGATGTGGTCACCATACCTTGTCACCATACCTACATTCCCAGTGACTTGATGTGCTGAACATTTTTTGTTCTTTGGTGCATGTCAAAATGTGAATTGTTTGGCTGCCATATTGGATTTCGGCAGATTCTGGTGACACTACTCTAGATGAAGATCCCAGTCTCCGATCCTTTCAGCTCGAAGGAACTGGCGTATCAAAGAATCTTGCTCAAAATAGTGACACCACAACTTGGCAGTTCTGCTTTGAGACGATTCAAATTCCATAACTGCAGTCAGT